GTTTTTCACATAGTTTAACTTCCGTTTTCTCGAATAGAAACGGAAACATAATAATATCGAACAATGACCTATTTCTAAAAAAAATAGATCTATAGTTCTCATCGTATGACTTCATTAGGCGATAAGTTGAGGTTCGATAGAATTAGTCGAAGAGAAAAATAGAAAGGAATTCTTTTTCTATATTGATTTATCATAGGAAAATTTATTATAGAAAATGACCTAGTTTTCAATATCTCACGATTTGTATTTATTAGAATATAGAAAGATATTTTCTTCTCAAGAAGTTCGTCATTTCCGTAATCTAATGCATTAAAAGATTCATATAAATAAAAGAAGTTGACATTAAATGGCAATCTCTTGAGACAGAAATTTTCTTTTTTTAGATATATTTTCATCCTACAATATAAATCAAAAGAAAATCAGTCATTTTTATAGTCTTATCAGCTAAGCCATAAGGTAAAAAAGACTTCTTTATATTATAAAAATATAAACTTAGCACATGTTATTTTACATGTTATAAAGCTTAAAAATAAAATGAGTATGTAAATCCTTCTAATATATATATATGAAGAAAATTTTCTTAGACAAAAAAAAAAAATTCTCATTGGTTATATTTTAATTAGATTTTTCGATTAAATAGATAGTCATTATAAAAAATAGATTTTTCTGATAAACTAATTATGAAAGTTTTTTTCCAATGAAACCTAACAAAAGATTTCAATAGAAGATTGAGAACATATCAATATGATATATAGAAATGGTAATATGTTTGTTAATTTTGTTTTCAATGATTGCATACATTATTTGTAAGACTATGTGATATTCCCTTGAGAGACTTCTTTTATATCATACGTTAGTGTGAATGAATGTATACTATGTTTTTTTTTCATACTAGAATTGATTTAAAAATTTTTTACTTATAATAAAATAAATATTCTAATGAGTGTCAAAGGATAAATAAAAAAAAATAAGATTGAATTTTTTATAATAGAGGTCTTAAATATTTATTGATTTATATATAAAGATTAAAATATCAATTTAGAAGCTTATATGTAATATGTCAAAGATCGTGTTGTCTTATGAAATTGATTTATTGGTATCGATTACATTAATCGTCGAATTTTTTTTGTATAACTTGACCTGATAACATATTATTCTCTATTCAATAAAACGATGTCAATGTCTTTTATTATAATTGTGTATTCCGATAGTTCCGAAAATAAGATAAAAGAAAACATAAGAATGGTCGTTCTAAATTGGGCTCTCTAGTTTGATAAGAACTCACTAAGGAATCTATCAAATCAAATGCTGATGCTTCTTATATTTCCTTTGACATAGAATTAGATATTACTTGTATTCATCTTTTTGCCCGAAGTATTCTTATTATCTAACAATAAGTAGAAGTGTACTATAAAAGTCAATTGAATAGAAATTATCTCAAGTTCAAGAGGAATATAATAATAGGTTGTTTCCATAAGTGATTTTCTTTTTTGCCTAATCCAACTCTTCAATCAAATAAAACCAATTTTTCTCTCTGTTTTTTTTTAAACCGACGGAAATTTAGATAATCTTAGCTGGTAATAATAAATGAAATTGTTATTTCTATCATAACAATGATAAAATACTGAACAAATTTGTTTTTTAATATAATTATAGTATAAAAGTGACTTTTGATGGATGGTTTGCGTCAAAACTACAATCACAATCAATTTTTATCGAACGATCTTTTAAACTGACGAGGGAAACTTTCCAGGTGTGAAATTACTGTTCGACCGAGACAATGTTTGTTTGATGAATAATAAAAAAAGTCTGAAATGATTTGATTTTCCGAGGCACGCCGACTATTATATGCAACTTCGTTAAAAATAAATGATAGACTACACGCACATGGTTCGGTACGATTAAGTAGCGTAGTATCTAACGACACCTATAACTCAATAGTAACTTTCCTAGTGTGCAGGTCTTCTTTCAGTTCACAGAAATCCAAACCAACATTCTCATATCTTAGTGCTAGGCTCCATTGTCGTGTCATTGGTTTTCCGGATGTTGGTTCTTGAAATAACAAGATTTAACTGAATTTTTCAACAAAAAGTTGTGATTACGTGAAAAATTGGCTTTGCACGAACAAAGTTCTTAATGTGATTAATTGATTGTGCATGTTTTTGCTTTTCTAGTATTTCCTTCCTGGACATGAGGAAAATTTGCTTTTACGCATGAAGTATTTCGAATATTGAATATAATGTATCCAATGAATTAATTTCATGAAAAACTTTATTTGTGCAAAAGTTTGAAGTCGAAAGTCGATTTTTCACATGATTATGTCTCTTATTTCGATATTTCAAGAACGAAGGTCTGGAAAATCAAACAACTCCACTCTTTTTTTTTACTCAATAGCACCCATCAAATAAACATCGTCTCGATTGAAAAACTATTTCACACCTGAAGAGATTCTCTCGTGACTTATTATTACTTTTTTCCTAGAGTTATTATATAGAAACATTAAACTTATATAAATGGAAAGAGAAGAACACAAATTACCATTTTGATAATGTGCTTATTTTGATAATAAGCAACGCACAATTTTTAAGTAAACTATTTCTCATGTTTCTTTCCAAACATTACATTCGAAATTTTTCAGAAAGTGACCCTTCAAAAAATCGAAAACATCTTTAGTGTAACTTCCTATTGTCCAACACTCTTTTACATGATTTATAATAGAAAAATAATAAAAACAGGTCTATATGAACTTCATATGTTGTTTATTGTAACACAAACGGATTACATTATTGATAAGTAGCTTGTAAGCAAAAATTTTACTTACCAAAATAGAGCTCGCGTTCTCCTCTTTCCATTTATATGAGCTGACTTTCTTCAATAAAAAATAACTAAATTTAAAAGAGCGTCCAACAACCATTGATTAAGTCCGCCTCTGTTTCCATAATAAAAAGCCATAGATTTCTATTACGAAAATTCACATCGATCTTCTATTGAAAACGTTTTTCTTAACGATTATAGACTAATTATAATTATTTGAACATTTCGTTTGATTTACTGTCTTTCTCACTCTTTATATTATATCTTCATTTATACCATTAATTAAAATTAAATCTAAAATTTCTATAATCTAAAATAAAAATAAATTTACCAATTATGAATACTGTCATTTTTTTTAAATATATTTACACATTTATCGAAATAAAAATACCAAAAAAAGAAAAGAAGAAAACGAGAGTATACATTTCGAAGTAAAGCTATTTCGATATTTTAGTACATGAAAATACATAGACAGACCAAAATCAAAAAAAAAAAAAGCAAGCGCTATTACTTTTTTTTTTGAGCAGAATAGACATAAATTACGATGTGTTTTTTTTTCTTATTTAAAATAGCGTAAGATCAATTAAAAATAATGAACAAAATAATAGCGAATGCAATTCCTAGAAATATACGTGATAATAAATCATGATGATAACGTTCAGGTGTATCAGGTGGTGCTAAATAAGATAATTCTTTTAAAACAACACAAAAAAATTTTATTTAAAAAATATATATACGTGGATCATATTGATAATCATTATTATTATTTGTTGCAAATGTTGGTTGAAAAAGACCAAATGGAAAAGCACCAACACCAAATGACATTTGAAAATTAACACCATCACCAAAACCAAAATTCTAAATAAAATAATAATTGAATTTTGTTATTTTTTTCTTCTGTGGATCATATTTACTCGACTTCGACGAGGTTCTTGTCTTGTACCAGCTGGTCGAGGTGGTGTAGTATTTCTAAATATATATATATATATACATATTATTTAAAATAAATTATTAGATATAAACCTTGGATCAGTTTGTGGAGAGTTTCTTCCATAAATAGGCACTAGTTTTTCACGTGATATACTACTTTTACATACAGGACATGTTGGATTATGTGCACGAGCTTCAAGCCATTGATGAATACATGGCCAACAAAATAAATGACCACATAATGATAGAACAGCATCATGAGCTGTTTCGAGACAAATCTAAATAAAATGATTTTTTTTGCTTGTGTTAAAAATATAATCAATATTAAACTTACGTTACATTCAAAACCTGAATCTTTTTCATTATTTGATGATGATTTCTTATCATCATTATTACCAGATGATGGAGGTATATTAAAATTATCGACAGAAGTTTTTTCTGTCGATGCCATTTAAATAAGAATCTTAAAAGAAAGAGAAGAAAAAGAACTAACATGAAAAATTAAATCATAATTATATATTAAAAACTTAAGAAAATAATTAGTTTGATTAAGCTTATAAATCATACTTACAAATATGTCATTGTTGTTTTAACAAACTATTGGCGTAGTTCATACCATTGATAATTGATGCGAGCCTCCGACTCATTGACGAACCAATAGAAATAAAACTTCAGTCAAAAGAAAGAAGAAGAAAAAAGAGATGATGACTGTCAATTTATGAATTGAAAAGAATGTCAACGATTCCAAATGATTTTATCAATTTTCTTGCACCTGTTATTCAAGAATTTGATGGAGCTGTAGAACAAGTTCGGTAAGTCGTTATTTCTATATATAGAACAAAAATTAATAGGTTTTTCTATTTTAGACATCGCCAACTTGCACTTGGAAATTGTCTAACAGCAATAAATGATGGTGAATCTATAATTATTGTTGTTGGTTTTTTTTATTTTTAATATTTCTATATTTAGAATTAGCTACTCTTTATAAACAATGTCCTGGTGATCGTGAACTAGAAGAATATATAAGACGAATTTATGCATTAAGACAACGTATGATTGAAGCTACAATTCATATAAAAATTATTGAGGTATTAAATAAAATATTTTTGTTTTATAAATATTATACTTTGTTGTTTTTATTTTTATATAAAGGATCGAATAGGGAAAATGGAACAATCAATAGCTAAAACAAGGACATGACAAATTTGTTTGTATGAAATAAAATAACACACAAAAACAAAAGAAAGGAATTCTGTTCATTTATCTTTAAGTTCAGGAGCAGGTGGATAATCATCATCATAATTAACAGTACATTTTGGTAATTCATTATGCAATAATTTGATTATACCTTCACGATTTTTAATACCTGGTAGACGTGCCAAAATGATTTGTTTTAAATTTCTAAAAAAATCATTTTCCTTATATATAAATAAATAAAAAAAAATGTAACTAACATACTTTAAATCAGTTAAATTACCAAGACCATTTTCACTTATTTGAACAAGATCAATTAATGCTATAGATTCTAATGTATTATTAACTTTTTTAAATCGTATAATTGAACCTAAAATAAATTCATTAATTTATTAATTGATAAACATATTTAAACATACCATCACCAACTTGATCACATTTTTCTAAATGAATTTTTTTCAAATCAGTTAATCCATCTATGTAATAGGAAAAAAAAAGCGCATTCGATTAGAAGTATATTAATAAAATAATAAAATGACCTAAATAAGCAAAACCATCAGATGTAATACAAGCTTTAATAGCACGAATTTCTTCAATTTTACATTGTTCTGGTGCTCCACCACTTGGTATAGCATTATAATCTGATGTTATTGAATTCCAATTTTTAAAACGTACTGAACCACTACATCGTAATAACCATTCAGCACAAGCACGATCAGGACCAATTTCTTGAACACGTTTTCGATCATATCTAAAGAACATTTATTTATAATTAAGGTTTTCTATTTCAATTCGTTTTTGTCTTCATTTTCTTATCTTATAAGTATCATATTTAAGAACAATCACGATATAATAAACATGTTTTTGTATTATTCGAATATTTTAGCATAAAAGAAAATATTAATTGGAAAACCGATCGTCATGTCATTTTTATCATTTCATTAATTATATGATTTATTTCGATATGTATGAATCTTTACAGTGGCTTTATAGAAGAATTTTTTTTTCTTTGTCTCATATTTTCATTAATTAAAATAATGTATTATAAGATGATTATTTCTTTTGATGAAAAACAAATCCGATGACAAGTCTTAAAACTAACGAATTAAATTTCCAACAAATAATTGTGTCAATCATTCGAAAATTCTTTGCATTAGCTGCCTCTTATTAACTTGACATTTAAGAACTCATTAAAAAAATATAGTTGATCTATAAATATAATACGCACGTGTCTATTTTCTGTATTTACAATTAGCGCATCTATCAAGGCATAAAACGCTATCTATTAATAGACCAACTTGATGAAAAGTATTAATAGAAATTCATTATATAGATATAAGTAATACCCAAATTATTCCATGCGATTGTTTTTCGCTTCCGTAAGTGTTAGAAAAAATTCAAATAAAGAAAATGGCTTCCGATCAGGATATAACAAAAAAAAAAAAAAATTTCAAAATTCATAGAACTAGAGTCTCGAGACAACTAAAACCCTAGTTTTTCAACACCTAGAGCACGTGAATATAAATTTGTTTAGAGTACAATAAAACATTAGAGCAAATAATTTTTTAGAAAATGAGATGTCTTTGACTTCTTTGTGACGTTTTTAAGTTGGAATACAACAATCTTACGGAAGCCCCTAAAGTTATTTCCAATTTCCTATAAAAATACTATGTTGTTTTACCTTAAATTAAATTCCTATATCTCAGATAAAACCGTCACATTTAGTAGAGGAATTTTGGTTTTTTGTAGTCTTTGCCTTTGAAAATCTGATAATAATTTTTATTTTGTTACATGTCTTTTGAAAACAATTTTCTCTATTCGAATCGTTATTTGGATTCTTCCTAGCGCTTGCAGCAGTGGAAAAAAAATACAAATAAACCTTGTTGATTAATTTTAGTACTCATTGTATATAATTTTAAATTGAATAAAACTTCTAAATTTTAATGTAATTTACTTGTTCCAAACAAAATTAAGCCAACTCCAAAATTGTCGATTATTAGTCAATGAAATATTCGATGTTAAACGTCGAGTTAGTATTGTTGCCATCTAAAAACTCAACAAAACCAAATATCGTCTTTCATATAAATAATTCAGTTTTTTTTATTGATATTGAACTATGCTATAGCTTTTACCCAAACATTTTGAACGGCTTCTTTCAACGTAAAACAGCTGTCGATTTTTCAAAAAATATGTATTTACGAAAAACGAAAATTGAGATGCCTTATCTACAAGCTGATATATAATAAAAGTTTCTAACTTTTGGTTTCGAATCGCAAGAGTAAAAATACAAAACTTTTTCATCCAAACTAATATTTTGATTTTTTCAACGATTTTACTACTCACAAACAAGATTTCTACGTTCAAATTCGAAAAGATCACAAAATCGTAACTGTTAATTCGTCGGAAATACTTTTTAACAGATCAAAAGTGAACAGACATCTTGTCTAAAAACTGTCCGATCACCAGTTACAATCTGACTTATTAGAATTATTTATATTATGAAAATGTTCTTCAATATTTTCATTCAATTCAAGTCTATGAAATCTTTCGATTAATATTTTTGTATGAGTACTTTGTTCACCAAGATGTTTATGTACTTCAAATCATTTGTCTATTCCAACAACGATGATTTTTTAAAATTTTGTTAACAATAATCAATATCATGAAGATTTCATTTTTTCTTCATCAAGATAATAATAAAGTTCATTGAAGAAACTTAGTTTTTTTTCATGAAAGCAAAAATAATGTTTCATAAAAGCTAAGACAAGATTATCTGAAAAGCAAAAATGCAATTGAATATTATTTAAACTATTGAAATTTAAAATTCTTATTTTTAATAATAATTATCATTGTATTGGAAAATAATTTTAAGAAAGTCTTAGAGTAAAATTTTATGTTTAATACTTAAAATCTTGTATTCAATCAATGTTGCTCAAATTGATATAAAATAAATCACAAATGAAGTCAGAGACAATCTCGCAAATTTTATTCGATAATTGTTAGTGAACTAATCATTTGATTTGATTAGTTGTTAATTCATAAAAATACAATTGGGAATATAAAAAAAAGATTATCCGACGATACAAAAGAAAAAACATTAACCATAATGTTCGTATGACTAAAAATAGATTGATAAAGAAGAATAAATTAATAGGAAACAAAATATTTGCAGAGAATATATTAGAGGTCCCTACAGATAATCAAAATCATGTTATAAAATATCGCATTAATATTTCTTGTTGATTTCCATCATCTCTTTTTTTCATTTGAATAAGACTATATGATCTAGTACTTGTTCTATAACGACAACAGATACTATTGATTAATGAAAAACATAGAAAAACTTATTAGGGGCAAGTCAACCCTCGTTTGAAGATGAAAATCAGGTTTTTTCTTCGCATATAATATAGGATCGTCTCATTTCTAGAGGGAACTCAAAGGTTTCCGGAGATATTTGTGAAGATGGAAGGTCCTCAATTGATTAATCGCTTTGGAGCCCGAACAATGTGTATCATGTAAACTCTAATGAGCTATGAATGCTATGGAAATAGTTGGGATTCTTAGCTTATTATCGCTGAGATATCATGTTTTTACAGTATTCTTTTAATGAATGCTCTGGTTACTATTACATACACAAAAAAAATTGATTTTCGAATTTCGAATCGATACTTTGTATAGACATAGATCTTAACGAAAGTACTTTATTGTGACCTTCAAGTAACTTCTTTCGTGAAATAAGAACGTCAAATCTGCCAGTGTATATGAATGATGTAAAAGACAAATTTTGTCATAGTTATATCTTAGGATTGGAACAGCGAAAATGTTTGAAACCTTCACAATACACTATTTTCAGTGAGCCCCATCTCTATGAAAAGTTTCAAGTCGAAATTTGAACAAGAGTTTAAGGCTCTGCCGCTACCATATATACAGGGTTGTGTACAACCTTTTTGCTAGGGGGATAGCGTTATAATTTCAAGTTGAATACCTTATGAATTTTATACTAAATTAAAGCGCGTCGAAAACGGGATTTATTAATACTAAATAGTAAGAGTGATCGAATTCTTTTAATGTCGAATTAATGAAATTTCCAGAAAATTAATGCTCTTTTGGCATAGAAAATTAAGTCGCCAGCAGTTCAAATATAGAGTTAAATATTTTCTTCTTATATTTTTACATGGTTCGATAGAGCTCGTCGAGCTCTGCAAAACTATATATATTGAAAGAGTTTTAAGCAATTTTCCTGAGGTAAAAAATGACTTGGAAAATCCCGAAAAAATTTTAAAAACTCCTTTTTTTTAT